GTGTGCTAGGAAATATGCTTATGATGAGAAAGAGAAAAAAAGAGAGCTGAAATACTAACAGATTGTTGTATAAAATTGGGTTGAAATGTCCATGTTTGTTGGATATTGGAGGAGGAATGTGGTTGGTGGGTGTATAAGTTGGTGAGGAGAGGAATGGATGTTTGTTTGTTTTTTTTTGTGATGGAATATGTTTTCATGGCTCTAATGGTGGAAGCTGAGGTAGTTTGAAAGTGTTGTATGTTAGTTTGAATTGTTAGTGACCAAGTGAAAAAGTGAGGCCCTGTGGTTGTGTTCCCTCATGGAACAAAAACATACCAAGTTGAAATAAACCAATGGTTAGACAGCGGCTTGGCATTGTTTTTGAGGAGGTCACGGGTTCAAAACCCCCTGGCACCAAAAAAAAATTATGCGGGTCATTTGATATACAGTTTCTGCGGGGGATAATTCATACAGTTTGGGGGTTAAACATACAGTTCAGGGGATAAAACATACAGTTTGGGGGTTTCAGACATTGGCTTTGTGGGATTAAAATCATGCAGTTTGGGGGCTAAATAAATCATACAGTTTGGGGGTTTAATATGTTAACTTTGTTGGATTTTGTGCAAGCATTTTGATATGCAATTCCTCGCTGATAAGTGGGACGTATGCAATGTAATTCATCATGCAATGCAATACTTGATGCAATATGAAGCTTATCATGCAATATGAAGCTTATTATGCAATATGGAGCTTATTATGCATATAACTTGGTAGAATCTTGCTACCCTGGCCTGGGAGTCCCTTGTAACCCTAACCCTACCCTAACCTAAACCCTTTCTCTACAGCAAAAATATAGCGGTAGCTGCTACTTCTTATAGGGGCTCTGATGTGAGGCCTCATAGTCGAGCCACTCAGCTCATCAGCTTTCGGGTACCCTAACCTATGCTGGTAAGCCTGATGATTTGCATGAAGACGCCACACTCACACATCAGGGTCATACTGCTTGACCAGACCATGCCGGCCGTGTAGGGTTAGGATTGGGTGAACAAGTTGTACATTCTATTAATCAGGCTCACTCTGATGGAAAGATCCCAAGCGAATACCTAACCCAGCCAAATGTTCAAATATTTCCAAGTTAAAGGATGTACACAATCAGGTATAACCTCAAAATAAGTCCCTAACCCTTTAAACAATCAGAGCAAATATAACCCAATTCGGATTGCAGTCCAGTAGTCTAGCTCTTTGATTACTTGGAAAAAAAAGCACAGAATGTTAGCACTGCAATGATCAGAACCACAAGTCATTTGGCGAATTTCCAGATGAGCCAAAACAAAATGGAACCAACTTACCAAGTGGAATATAATGTGATGGGGACATGGTTAGGGTTACATCATATTCAAGCATTCAAAATGGCCCCTGAATACCCAGGTGAATGGTCAGAGATGATCTTCATATCACTGTTTACCAGTGCTGGGCATCCATCAGGCACTCACATTGGGTTAGGCTGGAAAGGCAGCCAGCCAATGATCCTGAGCCCATGCACCAGCAACATCATATTTCTTGCTAGAGGTATGTTCAAAGGAAGTGTTAGAGGCCGGGTTGGCAATCCCTTGTGCCAGCAACATGATGTTATTTTGCTTGAGGCATGTCCAAAGAAAGGATGGGCTTTGTGTATCTTGAGGCAGGTGAGAGTGCAGGTTTAACCAATCCATGGATCGCCTATTGAGGACCCAGGAGTATGCCAGCAAAGGATATGATCAATGGGATCTATTGTGTGGGTTGGAATCGTATTCAAGCAATCAAAATAGCCCTTGGCTATCCAGATGATCAATATGACCTTCTTCTTACGGTTCACTTGTGCAGTCAGGCACAGGAATAATAGCACTCATGGTGGGCTTATCTGGGCAGAGAGCAAGCCCAGGTTGGCGATCCCCACAGCCAGCAACCTTATGTTTTTTGCTGGAGACATCTTCAAAGGAAGGATGGGCAGTGCGTTTCTGGAGGCTAGTAAGAGTGCGGAATGAACTTGTCCATCCATATTATTGAGGACCCAGGAGTCTGCCAGCAAGGGATGTGATGGATGACATCTATTATGATGTTTGAAAGTGTTTTCAAGCAATCCCAATAGCCCTTGAATACCTGGATGATCAGTCTCAGCTACGTAGGGAGAAAGCCAGCCAAGGCTGGTGAGCGGAATGCTGCGCCAACAACAATATGTTCTGCGGATGGTCTGTTATGGCCATGTAGGGTTAATACTATATCCGTAGGTCTTTGCAAGAAAAGTCTGTCCATTGTTTGCATATACGAGTCATTCATTTTGTTGAGGAACAGAAACACAAGTTGAACATAATGACTTTGGAGGATTTGGCCAATCACCAGCTTGTGTTCCAAACGGCCAATCCTCCAATAGACTTTTGCAGGTGGACCAAATGGCCTGTTGTCAAGAACGAATGTCATGTCTTGACTGTATTCCAATTGGAATGCAGTCAAGAGATTCCAACCCTTTGCCTAAACACCTGAGAGTTGGAAGGTGATGTGTCAGCTCCCCTGCCAAGATCATGGGCTGGTAAGTTTCCAGGCCATGTAGGGTAAATCATACAATCACTGGTTTTTTTGTGGAACAGAAATACAAATTGAACATAATGACTTTGGATGTTTAATCGGATTTGGAGCATTTGGCCTCATCACCACCCTGTGTTTCCAACTGGCAATCCTCCAATAGACACATGCAGGTGGACCAAATGGTGTGTCGTCAAGACCAATTGCATTCCAACCAATTGGCATGATCCCCAAAGATTTCAACTCCACCTGGCAATCCTCCAAGAGAGTTTTGCAGGTGTTTGAAATGATGTGTTGTCAGGGACAATTGTCTTGACCGCATTCCAATTGGCCCAAACGCCATATATTCCAACGATTTGGCCAATAACTTGAGGCTTGGATGGAGATGTAACAGCTACCCTGAGAAAACCATTGAGTTGGTAAGTTTCCTGGCCATGTAGGGTGAATTGTAGTAAATCGTATTGGTTGGTCTTTCCCAGTAAAATATGTCTAATGGTTGCCCCTGTGAGAGTTGGTAAGTTTCCTGGCCATGTAGGGTGAATAGTATTAACTCGTATTGGTTGGTCTTTCCCAGTAAAATATGTCTATTGGTTGCCCCTGTGAGTCATTCAATTTCTTGTGGAACATAATGACTTTGGATGTTCAATCGGATTTGGAGGATTTGGCTTAATCACCAGCCTGTGTTTCCAACTGGCAATCCTCCAATAGGCACAAGAAGGTGGTCCAAATGGTGTGTCGTCAAGACCAATTGCATTCCAACCAATTGGCACTATCACCACCGATTTCAACTCCACCTGGCCATCCTACAAGGGACTTTTGCAGGTGGTTGAAATGGTGTGTTGTCTTGACCGCATTCCAATTGGCACAAACCCCACATATTCCAACGACTTGGCCAATCACTTGAGGCTTGGATGGTGATCTATCAGATACCATGAGAAAACCATTTCGGTGAGTTTCCCGGCCATGTAGGGTGAATCGTAGTAACTCGTATTGGTTGGTCTTTCCAAGTAAAATATGTCTATTGGTTGCATCTGTGAGTCATTCAATTTCTTGTGGAACATAATGACTTTGGATGTTTAATCGGATTTGGGAGGATTTGGCTTAATCACCAGCCCGTGTTTCCAACTGGCAATCCTCCAATAGACACATGCGGGTGGACCAAATGGTGTGTCGTCAAGACCAATTGCATTCCAACCAATTGGCACGATCCCCACAGGTTTCAACTCCACCTGGCAATCCTCCAAGAGAGTTTTGCAGGTGATTGAAATGGTGTGTTGTCACGGACAATTGTCTTGACGGCTTTCCAATTGCCACCAACCCCACCTATTCCAACGATTTGGCCAATAACTTGAGGCTTGGCTGGTGATGTATCAGATACCATGAGAAAACCATTTCGGTGAGTTTCCTGGCCATGTAGGGTGAATCGTAGTAACTCGTATTCGTTGGTCTTTCCAAGTAAAATATGTCTATTGGTTGCATGTGTTTCCAACTGGCAATCCTCCAATAGACACATGCAGGTGGACCAAATGGTGTGTCGTCAAGACCAATTGCATTCCAACCAATTGGCACGATCCCCACAGGTTTCAACTCCACCTGGCAATCCTCCAAGAGAGTTTTGCAGGTGATTGAAATGGTGTGTTGTCACGGACAATTGTCTTGACGGCTTTCCAATTGCCACCAACCCCACCTATTCCAACGATTTGGCCAATAACTTGAGGCTTGGCTGGTGATGTATCAGATACCATGAGAAAACCATTTCGGTGAGTTTCCTGGCCATGTAGGGTGAATCGTAGTAACTCGTATTCGTTGGTCTTTCCAAGTCAAATATGTCTATTGGTTGCATGTGTTTCCAACTGGCAATCCTCCAATAGACACATGCAGGTGGACCAAATGGTGTGTCGTCAAGACCAATTGCATTCCAACCAATTGGCACGATCCCCACAGATTTCAACTCCACCTGGCAATCCTCCAAGAGAGTTTTGCAGGTGATTGAAATGGTGTGTTGTCACGGACAATTGTCTTGACTTCTTTCCAATTGCCACCAACCCCACCTATTCCAATGATCTGGCCAATAACTTGAGGCTTGGATGGAGATGTAACAGCTACCCTGAGAAAACCATTGAGTTGGTAAGTTTCCTGGCCATGTAGGTTGAATTGTAGTAAATCGTATTGGTTGGTCTTTCCAAGTAAAATATGTCTATTGGTTGCATCTGTGAGTCATTCAATTTCTTGTGCTAACCCTAATGACTTTGGATGTTTAATTGGATTGGGAGGATTTGGCCTAATCACCAGCCTGTGTTTCCAACTGGCAATCCTCCAATAGACGCATGCAGGTGGTCCAAATGTCATATTGTCAAGAACAATTGTCTCAGCCGCATTCCAATTGGCACAAACCCCACAGATTCCCACAATTTAGCCAATAACATGAGGCTCGGATGGAGATGTATCAGCTACCCTGACAGCATCATTGAGTCGGCAAGTGTCCTGACCATGCAGGGTGAATCCTAGTAACTTGTATTGGTCGGTCTTTCCAAGTCAAAAGAAGGATCTCATTGACTCTGCAAATGAGGAGAGCCTTGAGGACCCCCCCTTGTAGGAAAAATCATTGAGCCACTCCTTATGGAGTGTCACATTGAAACTGAGAGTACCAGATGGCTCAATGAACCATCATGTCCAATGTACACGTAATACATCGAAAGATAGGTATTAACTACTCTCATTATCTCTGAAATTACCGGCAGCGGGTTAGAAAAACCCACTCTGGTAGGTAAAAAACAAAAACAAAAAACCTAGAAAAGAACCCAAAATCATATTATAGAGACCATAACAACTTCCTCTTCATAAAACAGGATAAACTTCAACAAACAAACGATATAAGTTGGCACAAAATGAAGTAGCCTTCTCCCCAAGCCACTCACCAAAGGCACGTGGGGTTAGGGCCTGGGGATCATCAAAGTATCTTGCCAACAACTCCCGGCGACGATGATAAACAAACCAACAGAATTCGTGTGCCGTGTCACTCATGCCCGACCTGCAATTGCCACCTGCTGGTGGCTCATGAAACACAAAGAGATCCAATGCCCCAGCACTTAGTCCACATTGGTAGCACACATTGCGTATCCATTTCCGTCGAAGGATCGCCGACATCCGAGGCACCACACAAGACTTGGTAAAGTGTTCGGCTGATTGAAAGACATCAGCAAGGATGAGACAGGCAGGAGAGAAGTCACCAGGAATAAAACAAGAACTCAACTGGATCTGCAAGAAAAGCAAGCCGAATTGAGGGCACAGATATGTTGACCACGCTCAACCCTCTCGTGCGTCTCCCCAAGACACCAACCACAACAATTTGCAAATCGCTTGAGCAAATCGGCAATTCCCACAGCTAGTCTGTGTTCATTTGTGAGGAGAGCTGTTGCATGCACTTGATTAGTATTAGGGACCTGTGGAATCGTGCGAGGGGTGATGAGACCGCCAGGAGCTGGCCGTTGACGGGCCAGAGTAAGACCTTGCTGTGGGGGTTGAGGACGAGAGCTTGATGTTGCGAGGGAGCCCAATCTGGGAAGATCAATATCCATATCTTGACCGTGAACACCCGTAGTAGTTGAAAGAGAAGTCCCTTGAGTTGCGGTTGATTCGCTTGGTCGCCCGCCGATTGTGGCACACTTTGAACACTTTGCCAACATCCCAGGACTTAAACAAGAGGATGGGGTTTCATCGAGCACACTGGAAATAGTGTGCACAGGACAGGCACCTGGGTTGAGCAGATTGGCTGTCAGTTGATCCGGAGTCCAAACGCTGTGATGTTGAGAAACCAAGATCACTTTGGCGTGGCGTCCATCTCGTCCGGCTCGGCCTGCTTGCTGGAAGACTTGGTTGATGTTGTCCATATTTGGAATCCCCAACACCATCACCCTCCGAACATGAGGATAGTTGATTCCGGTTCCAAATGCACAGGTGGCCACCATAACACATCGACCAGTAGAACCCCATTTGCTAGCCTGAGCCGCTGCCACGTCCGAGTCCAGTCCAGCATGATAATATGCCACGGGTATCTTTTCCTCCTCCAACATCCCAGCCAATTCAGTGACCCCCTTGTGTGATTGAATAAACACCATGGCCCTAGACTTGTCTTCACCTTGGCAACCCTCCTTCCATTCTTGAAGGACTAATCCAAACATATCCGCAGCACATCCCAATTGTCGGTTTTTGATATCCCAAAGAAGTTCGGGTCGCACGGTCAATTCTCGGAATGATTTGACTTGGACCAGATTGAAGACTCCCTGGAGCAACTCTTGTTGTTTGGATGGTGCCAAGGAGCCAGTCATGAGGACAAACTGGCCAGTAATACTGCGCAATCGTGCAACCCCAGCCATGTAGTTTCGATAGGTTCGATCATCAAGGTATTGATGCGCTTCATCAATAATAAACCGATGTGGATTGATAGCGCGGATCGCAGTGAAAAATCCTATCTGAGATGCAGCCTCGACGGAAACGACAACGACTTGAGTTTGGTGAGAAATTGAAATCCCCGAAACTTGATCAATGTAAACCGCCTGGATGTGATGTTGCGCCAAGATGTCCATAGTCTCTAAACCCAAAGCCTTAAGGGGCTGGATGACTACTGTGACCCGATTTGATTCGACCAAAGGCGGCAGGAGATAACCCAAAGACTTTCCACCGCCTGTCCGAGCAACAACGAGGAGATCCTCTTTGGCCTCCAAGATGGCCGTCATCCAGCGTTCCTGGAAAGGAGATTTCCAATTGGCTGATGGATTGTGGGTAAACCTTTGCAAAGCTTGCTTGGCCAATAGAGAAGCTGACACCTGAATCACCGGTGTGATTGAGGGAGGGGCAGGGTCGCTGTAATCCCAGTCAATCTGAAGACCAACCAAAAGAGTAAGTCTCACACATTACAGACGGATAGGAAATAATCAGGCTGCTTACCCCCCAGAACTTTTGCCACATCAAAGAAGCTTGAGAGAATTGAAACTCGGATTGTCGATCGAGGCTGAACCCGCTGGTTCCACCGTAAATATGATTGGCTGTTCGACTCGTATGATTCCGTTGAATATCCAGCACATGATTTGGCATCTCGTCATCTGATTCGTCTTCGCCAAGTCAGATTTTGGGATGCTCTTTGAGCCATTGATCACATACAGCCACTGAAAGATGCCTCCAAGCAGCGACTCCCAAGGGGGCTAAACCGTGTCGAACAAATGTTTTGTGAAGGGCTGAACTCAACGCCTGCGTATTCATAAGACCCGTCGAGGTATTGACCCAGAGATGAGTCAAGAGTTGTTCGACATGGTCAAGTTTGTTGACTGCCTGGAGCAAACAACTGTATACAAGGTTGTTAGAGGTACATACGTGTATTGAGTATATGTAAAATAGACTTACATTTGAGCTGGGCGGATAAAAGCCAAGTAGTGATGGAGATGCTGAGAGAGCAAACCAGGCAGAAATGTCACTCTGTTCTTTCCATGGCCTGACATGGACTGGCCTTTGTGATAGGTGGTGCGGATCATAAATGATTGTCCTCGCCAAAAAACGTTGCGGATGCCTTCAGGGGTGTTGATAATCTTGATTGACATCTCTTCGGTTCCTCGAGCCGGTTGACCACACCCGCAATGAAAGCAAAAGTAGAGAGATTGAGTGAGCTCGTCTGACAAGTCGAGCCATTTCTGAACTGCTGAGTAGTTCCATCTTTCATCGTCCCGGTAAAAGCCCCAAGGGTCTCTGTTGCGTAACAAAGCGTTCACCAAGTACCGATCGTCATAGAGCTTGTGATAAGCTTCTGAAGCCTTCAAGTAATTGAAGCCAATGTCGGTGACGTGGGGAGAGTCCTGATAAGCAACCCGCTCAAAAGGAGGTAGTGTGACATGCTGAGAGAGTTGTCCCAAAAGAGTGCCAATATGCTCAAAGGTGCTCTGGATGGCGCGCTTGACATCGTTGAGGGAGACTGAGAGGTTGTTGATATTGAGGACCGAGCATTCGGAATCGACCCAGTGAGTGGTTTCAGGAAGTCCTTCGGTCATGGTGACGGATGCCATGAGGTGCATCCAGGACCGGAGAGCCCAAAAAGGAGAATTGAGAAGGCCTTCGGTAATATAATTCCACATACTATCCAAGTTGTTGTCGAGTCCTTTGTCTAGAATAACGAGAAGGTTGTTGTTGTTGTTGTCGTCATTGTTGTCTGAGGGAGAGGCGGACTGTGTCGAAAAACGTAAATAAAGATTGATAAAAGCCAACCGTAGACAATATTGAAGAGGAGACAGGAGTCTTGTCACCAGGCTATGTGAGTGAAAAGAACCGTCAGGCTTGATCATCCGCAAGGCCACAAACTGAAGAAGATGAAAAGAAGTATCCAAATCGCCATAGGGGTTGACTTGGATGATGAGAGCCATTAAGATCTCGGTGATCAGTTGAGAGGGGACTGGCTGGGATGCTTCCTTTAGATCGTGCAGCTCGGTCAGAAGAGTCGTGGCCAAGGGATTGATTAAACAGCGAGGCAAATTCGGAAACGCATTCTGGGTGACTTGCAAGCAAAACACTAAATACTGTGCGCAGATAGTGGCGTAATTTCGAATCGTAGAAATGTTAGCCAAGGGAGTCATAGGCTTGTTGCCGATTTCGCTGGGGCTGAAAGAAAGAAATAAATAAATAAACATATCAGCCACTGAAATCTAATCAACATCAAGTGCAAGAGAAAACCAACATCTTGGTAGACATGACCCTAACCCTCAAGTGCTGACTTATATCGTACAAGGCGGGCGAGTTGACTTCTAACCAATGGAAGACAGCAGTGTGGATGTAGCCAAACCTAGGGAGAGGGGCTTCTGGAATGACGGTTGCCAACTGGGAGTGGTCCATGCCAGCGGCGCAAGCTCGTTGAACAAACGAGAGGATTCCAGTCTGCTTGAGCCAGGGAGCAGTATCTCGAATGTTTTGGCGACCATCGTGTATAAACGACTCCAAAGTAATTGGAGGTGGAAGGCGGTCCAAGAGGGCGGCACGGTTCGGAACCGCAGGTTGATCAGGAGGCGGGGGTGACAAAGCCACAGTCGATGGCAAGACGTGAAAAAATCGGCGATGCTGATGTTGCAAGAGAGTCTGAACCCAGCCTTGCAAAGTACTTTGTTTCCAAGCACCATTGTGAAACTCTGTAAAAATAACACCCAGAGTCTCAGCAAATAAAGGCATACTTGAGAGAGAGAGAGCAAGGAAGAAAAAAAAAAAAAAAAAAAAACGTACCGGGACGCCAGTGCTCACTGACAAAATGCTTGCGCATTGTTTCATGCTGAACACAAGCATAGAAGCATACTTGACAGACTAACCCCATATACATTTTGACACCGCCAAAAGGAGTGATCGGATTGGATTGATTGTAAATATCCTGCGGTGGATCTTGCAAAATGCTGGGCGGGTCGTGTGAGCTTTTGAGATGATGTTGATTCTGGAGATGGGAAGACAGTTCCTCGACTCGAATGCAGACATGACACCGGGAACAGAGCAACAGTTTGGCCAATTTGTGATAACTGATCTGGAAGTCTTTCCAATCAGGAAGCACTAGAAATCTCAATGAGGATTAGTTCAAGAAGAAGAACATTAAATAATCGAACAAAAAAACAAAAAAAACTACATACCTTGGATGTGATTGACGCTTGGCTTATTGACTCGACAACGTACAACTGAGGACTGAGGCGGTTGGACTACGGGGGGGCGAGGGCGGGTGACTTTGAAGCGACACTTGGAAAAATGAGCCTGCATTAAGGAGGCCTTGGCGGTACTATATGGGCAACCGATAGAAGAACAAGAAAAGATATTGTTGACTCGGTGGATGGTAATGGGATTGCTATTGGCATCACGTGAGTGAACAACTAGTTGATGTTCATCCCTCACATGATTTTTGCGTTGAGAAATCGAGTCGAAAGTCGCAGGGCACTGGGCACAAGTATAGATCTGCATGATGGGCTTTGGGTAGGGTGTTTGTAACCAGTGAAATTTTCAGGGGTTTAAGGATTTGGGGGGGGGTCCTTATATAGTCAACAACCCCCAGAACAATGGTAACCAAACCACCTGAAATGGGGAAAAATTTTGGCATGGGACTTTTTTACTCATAATTACCTTTAAAATTTCAAACTCTCAGAGGGGGGGCTAATGGGCCAAAGGCAAACAAAGACAAAAACCAACAGATAGATTGATTGATTGAGCTCAAGGAAAAAACAAGAAAAAAAAAAAAAAACAGTCAAGCCAGATTTTAGAGAGTCAAAACAAGAAATCAAAGAAAAACAACTAGAAGAAGAAGAAGAAAATAACAACTAAGAATCTCCCGGCACTACATCATCGAATTCCACATCTCCCCCTTCCTCCATTTCCTCGTCCTCGTCCTGGCCGGGGGGGGCTTCATAGTCTGAGCGCGTCATGAGGTTAGGAAGCTGGTCCTCCAAGATCTTGAGGAGGCCATCGTGAGTGTCGTTGGCTGAAACCGGAAGAACCGGATGTAGAGCTGGACCACCTTTTGAAGTAATTGAGTAGGTCGGCCTCTGGAGTTCTTGAATTATGTCGGCCAATACGAGTTCGCCAACCTTTGCCGGAGAAAATTCCACGCGCCAACGATCAGCCGCTGCAATCCAATCAGCTGAAGTCCCCCTCTTAATGTTTGACTGGTGAAGGACCTTGTAGATATGGCAGTTGAGACGTCTCCAAGAGCCGCCAGCCAAAGGATGAGGGTGAGTTAGGGTTGGCTCGAATTCTTTGATGGTCCTGAGCCGCTGATCGCCCAAGGTTAAGAGTCCGTAGGTGTCGGCCATCGTATACTTTCGATTATTAGTCTGACTGAGCATCCAGCCAGCCACGCCATAGCACATGAAACCGGCCAATGCAGCAAAGCTGGTGCGACGTGCGAGAGCCCAGTTTTTAGTCGTGGAATTTGGGGGGCCGTGACGAAAGATAGCCGTTGCTTGAAGCTCGCCCTTGATTTTCTTGATCTGATTGCGGCTGAGGGTGCCCGCTTCCTTATATTCCTTCTCTATTTTTTCGATCGCAGTTGACTCGTTGGCTATGGACAAAGCCAAAAGCAACTCGTGGATCCGACGGAGAATAAAATCATTCAGTGGTTCCTCGTTCGTTCCGACATTTGATTGCCTCTTGGCTTCATCCTTGGGGTCAGCCGCACCGCCGTAACTGGTGACCTTGTTGAAGATAAAGCACGACACTTTTCGGACGCCCTCGAGTTGTGAGCCGTCGGTTGAGGTGGCGGTGGGGGGATCGGCTTGGCTCCCGACAGCACTGACAGCATCTCGGATAATTTGATCCAACCGAGTAAACGCCGTGGTGACCTGCTTCTGTCGGTACTTGTGCTCGGTATACGTGATCGTATTATCTTTTTCGGCGCGAGTGAACATGGCGAGCACTGAAGTCCAACTTCCATTGGGCGACTCGTCCTCCTCTTGAGCGGCCTCGTAAATCTTGTTGAAGTCGACCACGTTCGGGTTCCAAAAAGGATCCGGGTGAGTGACCTGCATCAGAGCAGGGGCTGTTGCCAAACAAACAAACAAACCAGTAGTTAGAGACAGTTGGCTCCAAAAGCTGAGAGAATTAGATAAAAGACTACTTACCCGATCGGAGGAACACAGAGAAGGGAGCTGATCTTGAAAAGTTGATAAGCTGGCTTGAGATGTTGTTGCGGATGTTGGGTTGATCCTTTGGCCAGTAGGGCTCAGTCGACGGCAGGAAGTCAAGAAAGTTGCTGATGATGTTGTCGGCAATCACCCCGAGTTCATGACCGGCACGACCGCTGTTGCCACCGTTCTTAGTAAGGTTCCCGAGTGTGTTGCGGAAGAATAACTTTAACGAGGGACTACCTGTTTTAACCAAGACTGTCAATTGCAACAAACCACAAGAGTCATCAGCTTCAAGAAGACCAAACAAAGGAATCAAAGTACATAACAAAAAAAAAGAAAAATCCAAACTCACTACAAGCAGAGGCAGGCTCCCACTTATGCATAAGTCCAACCACACCCTTGACCTTCTCTGGCAGATTGTCACCTGTCACCACCTCCTTCCCTTTTCCCTTCTCTTTTTGACGGCCGGACTGATCCACATCGCGATCCTGATTGTCATTTTCGTTCTCGTCCTCGTGCTCATCGTCCGAAGAGCCAGCGATCCGAGTCTTTGATTTCTTGGTGACGGCGTTGGAAGGTTCGGGATTGGGGGCGGGTCGCTTATTCTTTTTGAAGGACGGGAGTCTGATCGGCTCGGGGTCTTCTTCTTCATCATCCAACACAATCACCTCTTGATTCGCCGATACACCCTCTTCGATCTTGACCTTGAAAACTTTCAAGCGGAGATCCAAAGCCTCGGTGACTTGGGAGAAAGCAAACTCCTCCCGCTTGGGCGCGAAACCGGTCGTTTTCTTGATGCGCTCTTGAATGCGAGTCATCCGTTCCTTAGTTTCCATCACTAGGCCAAAAAATAACCAGACACAGTCATGTTAGTAATGTTTCAACAATCCAAGCAAACAACAAAAGGAATGAAGATACGCACATTCTTTCTCCAATTCTTGGAGCTCCTCCAACTTGACTTCTTTCCCAGCCGACTGAGTCGCTGACGGACCGTTTTTGTTTTTCTTGTGACCGTCATCGTCACCGTCACATGGACCATCGGTTGAGGCGTATTGTGTACTTGCAGAACGAGCTCGAGGGCGGCGTTTGGTTTTCTGAGCCGAAGTTGGTCCGACGGGGTCGACTTGGCTGGCAAGATCAGCGGCAAGATCAGCGAGTTGGGCATCTTCATTGTCGGAGCCGGCCAAAGCAGCTGCAAGTGATAGAGTGGACTGGTCTAGAGCCATGTTGAATGTGCTTGATAACTAAATCTGATCTGAAAAACAAAACATAAAAAAAAACCAGGTTGATTGGAAGCCCACCCAACAAAAGAAAAAAAAAAAGAAAAAAAAATTAAACATACCAGTTGTTCAAAATTCAAAGTCAAACAACCCAAAGGAATAAAATCCGCCAGAGTCCAATCGAAAAAAACGTGCACAGTCGAAAAAAAACGCCCAAAGCCGAAAAAAAAACGTCCAAAAGTTCGAAATCAAAACGTCCCAAACGCCAAAAAAAACGCCCAGAGTCGAAAAAAAAAACGTCCAAAAGTTCGAAATCAAAACGTCCCAAACGCCAAAAAAAACGCCCAGAGTCGAAAAAAAAAACGTCCAAAAGTTCGAAATCAAAACGTCCCAAACGCAAAAAAAAAACACCCAGGGTAAAAAAAAACAAGTCAAAAAAAGTCAGTCCAAAAGCCAAAAAAATTGGTCAAAAAAGTCAAAAAAATCAGTCAAAAAGTCAAAAAAAATCACCCAAAAAGTCCAAAAAAATGGTCCAAAAAGTCGAAAAAAATGGTCCAAAAAGTCGAAAAAAATGGTCCAAAAAGTCGAAAAAAATGGTCCAAAAAGTCGAAAAAATTGGTCCAAAAAGTCGAAAAAAAAAGTCCAAAAGTCAAAAAAAAAAGTCAAAAAAAGTCAAAAAAAAAGTCAAAAAAAAAGTCAGAAACTTGGTCAGAAACTATTGGGCAAAAGTCAAAAACCCAAAAAAAACCGAAAAAAAAAGTCAAAAAACTCACAGTTTTTACTGGTGGGGGTTGGGGTCAAAAACTGGGGGGTCTGAGGGGTCTGAGGTCGAAAATTGGGTGGTTGGATCTGGGGGAAAAAGGTCCTGCCAGAGGAAAAGGGGGGGGGTCTTATATAGACAACAACCCCCAAAATCGACCCCCCCACTCAGTCTGAAAACTCAGGGTGGTTTGAACCACCCTCTCTGATTGGTCAGAGCGAACGCGCAAGTCGCGTGGTTCAAACCACGCGCAAAAGACGCGTTTCACGCGGTTAGAACGTCGCGGCCGCGACTTCTTCCCCCCCATACAACAATTAAATCGCGGTGTGAGAACGCCGCGCCGCGGTTTTTTACACGGTGAAATCGCTTAAAAACAGTCAATAACAGTCAAACATAGAAAAACCCAAAAAACCCAAAAAACATAAAAAACATAAAAAAACCAAAAAAAACCCAAAAAAACCCAAAAAAACCAAAAAGACCAAAAAAACCAAAAAAAAAAACCAAGAGCCCAAAAAAACAAAAAAAAAGGGGGTTTAGGGTGTCAAAAACAGGGGGGTGACCCTCATTCCTCAGACCCCTCAGACCCCCCTACTAAAAGGGTCTGAAGGGGTCTGAGGAATGAGGGCTCATTCCAAGGGGTGGGGGTGTTAGAAATTCAGGAGGAGCACGGCTACAACTCAAGTGGAGGTATATCCGACTCTCAATTCTCCTTATTCCTTTTTCTTTTCTTCTCTCATTATTATTTCTTTTTGAACCAGTTGATTGATCTTTTTATTTCTTATTTCAGGCTTGTTGTTATATTCCTTTATCTCCTATAAACATTTCTCGTGTCTATTAATTGAGTCGTAGCTAGGACAAGAACAACAAAAGGTACTTATTGAGTTCATTATTTCTCTCATTAAGTATTGTTTTTTCTTTTTCCTTATTTCTTGTTTCCTTACTTATTCTATTTCTTTTCTTTTCTCTTTTGTTTTCAGTTATCTACTACTATTAGCATTTGATTATACCCTGCAATAAAGTATTTGACCTCAAAACTTCTACAGAAAGGTAAACTGGGTAAGATTTATTGCATTTTGAAAGCAACAGATGAGTGATTGAGATGCATAGATCCATACATTTTGATGTGGAAGAACCCAAAACACTGGCAGGGATAATAACGAGGAGAACAGCTGTATTTGCTGAAAGCAGTTGATGTACCATTTTTAGGATTAAGTTAATAAATGTCAAAGAGAGACAAAGAATAAAGATGAGCAACAGAAGGGATAAATGAAAGAGATCAACTCTGAAAAATAAAATATCAGAAAGAAACACAGTCCAAGCAGAAGAAGGCATGATACAACCCACTGACCTCATGCGTTTTAGGAAGATTATTCAACTCATTGTTCCCTGAAATGCAGTAGTGTCCGTTGTCAAGGACATACAACTCATCTAAAAAATACCTTGGACCTCCCTGTCAAATCCTTTCACCTCCTGGTCAATGGGCTTTTCTGTCCTTTTCTTTGCCTTTTAAATCCAACTGCACATTGCTTTTGCAAAGTAATCACCACATAGCATTAAACTAATAAATATTGATGAAGGATACAAAGGCAAGACAACAAGGAGAGAAACCTGTTTGCGGAGGGATACTTGCAGGGCCGCTTCAGCAGATGAACACACAGAATTGTCAGATATGCAGAACAATTACCTATGCTTTGCCCTTCTTTTTCCACCAATGCTGCAGTGCTTTTGGTTATTACTCACCCAGGGAGCCTAAGTAGTTCCTCTGACCTCCTTTTTAAAACAATTCACCACTAATTCAATGGCTTCTTTGTACCATCTTTTGAACATTTTGCCTTGTTTTGCTTTTACTCATCATGATAGAAGGCTGACACACATATTACATTATAGATAAATGAATAAATTGTCATGATGGACAAGAAAAAAAGACCAAGACAGGAAAAATATTTACATACATACATTGCAAATCAGCACTTGAGGGACTGACACCATTGAAATGATAGATGTCAATACATGACAAGAAATTAAGGGAGACTATCAATCAAGAAGCTTAAGAGATTCATTCTCCATTTATTTGCTTGTTTAATCATATTTATTCATTTGGTGATGACATGACATTTTCTTTCTTCTGTTTCTTAGAGGGAAATTGGTGGGATCCTGCACAAATAACTGCAAAGTAAACAGCCCTGGAGTAAATATTGTATGGAAATTATTCAAACTACCTGGGCGCTCAGCAAACAAACCAATCTTCAGTTTGAGACTCATTGATTCGAAGTGAAACAAAATCAAAATAATAAAATTGAATGTGGGATCACCAAAAATCTCATGTCCCATGTATGAATAGAGAAACACTGCTTTCTGTAATAGAACCCCATACAGCATGCCCCTTTGAATTAATGTAGTTCCAGACAGAAAGAATATAAAGCACAAATATCATGTATATTTCATTCTTTTCCATCAAATATTCAACAAGAATACAGTGTGTGATAAATCAGATGGGTTTCAAAGTATTTTTGTGTGGTTTGTACAACCACTTGCCTGTGGTTTTTTACAAACATTTCTGTGTTAGTTTTCCAAGTACTTGTATGTGATTTTTACAAGCACTCTTGAATGTTGTTTGCACAAGTACTCACCTTGGGCTTTACAAGCAATTACTGTCTGCGCTTTTTAGCAGTATGCATTAAAATGAAAATTAATGTTTATTCAATGTCTCTTATAAAAGTACACAAAAACAAGACTTCCAAACCAGGGATAAATTATAATACATTTCAATAATGGGCCAGAAGAAAAGACAATCATCAACCAAGACAACCAAAAAAAAACACTCACATGCATTGTCAAGTAACAGATGAGTGATTGACTGAGTTAAGATAACAATTAATCATGACAATTAAGAATAAAGGAAAATAATCAATCAGGAAGCTTAACCCATGCTTGCTCTGATTATGTCAGCCACAGAGTACATGTCACAGTACCTTTCATGTACCAAGTAACTGCAACACCTGTACTTATGTACATAAGTACTTATCCATAATGTTGATTACCTTTACCTCTTGTTATCTTATTATTATCATTAACTTATCTTATCTTATTTATCTTACATTTATCTTATCTGTTAATTACTTATCTATTTAAATACATACCTGTGTTCTAAATAAGTAATTATCACTTACCTTTCACTCTCTTGTCCGTGAAATACCTGTACCACAAGTTATCCCTCTGCTACAGTATTTTCACGGTCAAATATTATTACAAATAAATATGTACATGTATTAAATAGTAAGTATTAAGTGTCAATAGAATTAATACATTCAATACATGCACAGATCACAATTATGACTACATTATTAGAGGATCTGTTAAGTACACATCAAGAGCAACTAGTACATTGATCAACTAGTACACAATTATGATGTCACTTACAGATCATGACAAATAATGATCAGTCACTCAATTGATGTGCTCATTCTCCTGGCCAAAGCTCCCTTGATTCTGAGCGCTCATTCTTTCCCCCCTTCAGTATTCTGGAACTTATAATCCGTGCCTCTTTCACTGATTAATCCCCAGAATATTCAGACACCAGTTAAACCAGTTAACATTTATATTGATACAGTACCCGTAACCAACATAAATCTTGTCTACATTTATTGTTCTTAAGCTTCAGTACTCTTACTCAACTTATCCACAGTATTCATAGCCTTGCTGAATATTCCCATCAACAATACCTGTTAATCTTCAACTAATTTTGTTAAAGCTTAATAAGTATTGTTAGCCCATTCCCTTTGGGGAATAACCAAATCAATCCCAGGTGAGTCTTAGTACCCTGGATGCCTATTAATACCTTGTATTGATCCGGATGCGCTGTTGATAGCAAGCCTCTCAGTAAAGACCATACTGATAGAGTGAAACCTCCTCTTTACAGGACTGGTATTAATCACCCACTACCTAACACTCACCACGCTCAAAAACTTCAGTCAACTCATAGTAACAACCTTTTTACTATTAAATACTCAGGTTAGTTACCCAGAGGCTGACAATTGGGGGTCTGGCCTAATTGGAATTCCGTGACTAACATATCTCCGTGCTTCTTTTACCTTTTGTCCCCAAAACATTTACTACTAACAATGGCCTTCTGAAGAACAAATGCCGGAAGTTTTGCCATTTATTAGACAAATAGATAGTACAATTGCAGAAAAAGCTAGTAGATATTACCACAACCACCCGGATAACATTACAGTTATTGAAAGAGTAGAAAAAGTGAAAGTTACAGAGGCAGAAGATAGATTCTGGAACTACATAGAAACTAAGCGCTACCATTGTACCCTTCATTCTACCTATTCCCCTGAATATATCCTCATAAATCTTGTAGAAGAAGACGAGTCTATCATAGAAAAACAGTAGAAACAAACAGGAATAACTTCTT